ATACAGTCCCCACCTTCCAGTTCCAGCAGGTAGGAAGGAGCCAGGTGGCAGGCAACGGGCAACCGGGGGCAAAGCTAGGCAGCAGATGTGCCCTGAGACGAACCAGGCCCCTACACCCTCTGAGGCCCCAAAGAGGAAGCGGCAGCGGCTGGAGCACCTTACTGCGGAAGAACGGGCAGAGCGAAACAAAGCCCAGACCCGCAAGGCCTTGGAGGCCCGAAAGAAAAATGTGGAGATACGGAGGGCACAGAGGGCAGCAGAGGAAGCCGGAGAGAAGTTAACTGCGCAGCTGCAAACGGGCAGCCAGGCCCAGCCCTCCGACGGCACACAGGTCCCAAGCCTGCAACTGCAACTGACAGCTGGAGACCAGTCCCCCAGCGAACCCCGCACCCAGCGAGCAGCCGCCGTGCAATGCCAGCAACACCTGAGCACCCACAGCCCAGCATCAACACAGGGGGATGATGATGAGGAGGAATACACCCCTACCGCCATGGAGGCGGAACACTCCGACTAAATGCCAAGCAGGGGGACCAGGAGAAGTCAGCAGCAAAATGCTGTGCAGGGCCATCCACTCCGGATCGCCACACACAACATGCACGGACTGCTGGCGACACATGGAAACCGCCTGCAGGCAGCAGTTCGGCAGTGGGCAGAAATGCGCCTGGACGTGGTATGCTTGCAGGAGACACATCACACCAACATCCAGCACCAGTGCCTTTTTGAGCGGGACTTGCGCCAAGCTGCAATGCGGGTACATAGCCAAGGCTGGCGGGTGGCGGCACACTCGTGGTCTAGCTCGACACACACAGCGGGGGTACTCATCCTCGTCCGGCAGGGCCTTGCAGCAGCCCTGGAGCCGCCACCAAACACAACCCGTCAAGCATGCATGCAGGGCCGGTTCACAGAGTGTGTGCTCCGCTGGGGAGGCCACCGCCTGCACATCTGCAATGTCTACCTCCCCACGGGCTCCTCAACAGTGGCAGCAGACGCACGACGCCTTTTGTTCAGCAATGTCCTGGCTGCCACTTCAACGAAAGCTGCCGCTCCGGACAGCGATACAACTCTCATCTGGGCGGGCGACTTCAACTTTGTAGAGAACCCGGAACTGGATGCCTCAGCGGGCCCAGAGGGCCGACGGGGAGACGGACCGATAGCCGACATGAGGAGACAGGCGGGCCCCACCATGGTCGACACCCACCGCCACTTCCACCCCACGCGCCGAGACTTCACCCACCTATACCGCGCGCCCACCCCGGGGGGCTCCCGCCTCGACCGCATATACATCAACCAGACCAAGCTGACCTATGTCTGCCACACGTCCGTCACCTTCCACACACCGTCGGACCACAGGATTGCGACACTGCACCTACTGCCGTGCCGGAGTGAGGAGCGGGGCCCAGGGGTCCGCCGAGTCCGCCTTGCCTTCACGGCACACGAGGACCTTTCGTCCAGCATGGACACGTGGATCCGCAGCCAATGCATGGAGGCACCATCGGCCGAAGACAACCCAGCTGGCCTGATCGCCTGGTGGCCAGGCTTCAAGCGCCGCCTTGCCACCCTGGCCCATCGACTCAACAAGGCAGCACAACAACGCCGACGACGGCCTGGCACCCGTGCCCGGGAAGCAATTGCTGCGGTCCAGCGGGCTCAGCAAGCAGTCGATGCGGCGCCCACAGCACCCCAGCCACTGCAGCAGCTAGTGGACGCACAAGCAGCACTGGCTAGGGCGCACCAGGAGGATGGCAGCATGGCAGCCAAGGAAGCACGGGCCCACTGGCTCCGGGCAGGGGAACGGACCGGCCCTGCCCTGACAGCCTTCCTTAAAGCCCAGGCGGCCGAACAGCAGCCTGCCCCAGTCGCACTCCAGGCGCACAGCGGCCGCCTAGTGACCAACCCAGCACAACTGCCGCAGGTCGTGGCAGACTACTGGGCTGAGATCAGCCGAGCTCCTGACTTCATCAGCCCCAGTGCCCAACAGGAGGTACTTGCCCAGCTGTCTGCGGCCAACATCAGCCTCCCTGCAAACGCAGATGAACAGCTTGGCTCCAAAACCATCACAGCAGCGGAGCTACGGGTCGCACTGGTCAAGAGCCAGCCCGGCAAGGCACCAGGATGGGACGGCATCCCAGCCGACCTATACCGCAAATTCTGGTCCACCATTGGCAACACCATGGCGGGCCTCTTCACCGCCATAGGCGCAA